TGAACATTTATCCTAACTAAGGCAAAAGAATAAAGAACTCTTTTCTCTGAGCTTAAGCTTAATGTTTGATGCAATTTAATAGGCTCGAAATTGAATTTAAATAACGGAATATAGAAATGCGATTTAAAAATAAAGAGTATGCAAAATTCTAATCTAAGGTATGAATACCAAGATGCTGTGACCTTTAGCATGGTAACAGTCTCCTTTAGGATATGCAAGTTGTTTGACCCTGTTTTCACCACATGGTCGTATTGTCAGGAAGACTTAGAGGAGCACACATTAACCGGAGTTCTGAGTATGCATGATAATTTCCAGAGTCAAACCATAGACTTGGTAAATACCTAAGACGTTTATCCGGCATCGTCAGTAAGCCTTGCCATTCTTTCTATCACAAGTTGTCTTTTTATTCTAAGAATGATGCTAAGATTGGCAAAGCTGACTGAAGGTGCCTGTGAAACGTATGTCAAAGTACCAAGTCCACGGTCCGACTGTGGAAATTATAATGCCTGCTATGGACTACGGACAGGATGGGCTCCTTGAGGTCTTCCTGACAATAAAACAAAGTTGCGAAAACAAGGCCAAACAACTTCTATAAAGACGTAATTTTGAAATTTTCAAGCAAGAAATAAAAAAATACTAAGAGATTTTACCTGGCGCCGAATCGCACGACTATTTGTTTGCTGGATGACTGGATGTTGCTGCCTAGAGGTATCTCGAATAGATGTGCTGGTGGATGAGGCAGCGCTTGATTCAGCAGTAGATGGTACTGGCAAGGACGAGACAATAAGTCCATGTGCAAAGCTAAATAGGCGGTGGGCTGTCCGGATCCCAGCGTCGAGACAATACGTGAATGAAGCAAAGACAACTGAGAAGATCATACGGAAATCTATTCAAAAGGGCAGAAAGGAATAAGTGAGCGGAATAAGTGAAAGAGCATAGACAAAGAAATGTGGCCAGAATGTAATAATATCTAAGACAGAATTGATCATAATAAAAGAGGTTGAAAGAATAAATTTTTATGTACTGGGCCTAAATCTAGATTAATTTATATAAGCCCATTAGAGTTTCAGCCATTCAAGCCCTAATAGTAGGGCTAAAAAAATAAAATGAAGATATTCCATCAATCTCTAGTCTAGAGTAGATGTGGGTTCGGACCTTTGTTGAGTCTTATCAGCACCGTAAAAAAGCTTTGAAACCAGGCTAATTTACCAATCGACCTTAAAGCCCGTGTCACTGGATCATAGGTCAGATGTGGCATTCAATGCAAATCGAGTCTTTCCCTAATTCCGCCTTAGGAACAAGATCCGGTTTCATAGCTCAATAAATAAGGCGATAGTTGTCAAATGAAAGGAGTAATAATAAGAAAACCTTTAAGAAAAGCAGTCTAGTTAACCTAAAAAGAATACGTTCCTGAATCTACAAAGTTAGTGATCTGATGCCGAAAATCGCAGATGACACAGAACTAGGTAAGTTCCATTAGGTCTGTCTGAAAGTGAACAAGTTGCGAAAACGAGGTAAAGCCAACAATATAGAGGTAAGAGAGACTGCGACTAAACAGTGAAAATTAGGTCAAGAAAACTAGTGTTAAAATAAAACTTACAAGAATGAGTTGTAACTCTGATGATGCTTAACCTATGAGCGTTTTTATCCGAAGCGAGGGAGGATGTCTCGGGGATTGTGTCAACCTGAAAGTAGTACTAAAGACAAACGGCTGCAGTACAACAGAAATCAGCCATCGGTTTCTGGTGAGATCAACCCACGAATCTCTTCTTCATGTACATTCATACGAAACGAAGTTCTCTGCAACAATGTCACATCTGAAGTTACATAACAACTATTTGCCAAAGAAACAAAGCAGACTAGTGGTAGGGCAAACTCGAAATCAATGCCGTGTATTTTAGTTTAGCCTCCACAACGTCCTATTGAGTGGAGTCTGCGTTGGCAACAAGATCCATAAGGCTGTATTAGTTGCCACGCTCCAGCTCCCTTGTTCCCCAATACTCATGCTATATGCACCTTACAATACGCATACATCAAATTAGCTTTGTAATCCTTTTGGTTCATATACAACTCTACAACACATAATGTTATCTTTATATTACTCGCAGGACATTCCTCGGAGTATA